CCCCGCTCTGCATATTTTGCATGTCTCGCTTAGTTAACACACCTGATTCAGATAACCAGCTCGTTAGAAGAGAGCTACGTGCATGAACTGTGTTCCGATCGATATGATCCTTACACAGTGTTCATTGCTCCCTACTCCCTGAGCAGGCGAAATCCGTTGAAGTTTACATCACTTCGGAACATTCATTCACGGATTTACACTGCGCAGCGTCTTCACACACAGACGGAACTTACTACCCTGCAAACATGTCCCTGCGGGGCCCATGCTGGCTTTTTGCGGGCAAAGTGGGCTAGGGCCAGCCCACATCAAACCTAAACAGGCCCAGTGCGGGTTTGCCCAGGTGAGGCCCACAGCTTTGGGCTCACCGCAGGCTCTCTGTGAGCAGGCCACACTAGCGGACTGTCCACATTAATCCTATGATGGCCCAATGTGGGCCAGCCCGTTCGGGCCCAGAGCAACTTTTGTATCCTTTGGGCCCATGCAGGTTTTGTGTAGGCAGCCCTGTAATGCAACTAGGAGAATACAAACAACATTGACTGGCCATTCTTTAGCCACTCAATTGAAGTGGAATGGCACAAACCAAAATAGATCTTTTCAGAATCTGTTGTTTCATATAGGCCAGGGCTCCTCAAATCTGGCTCACGAGATCCACTTTCCTGCAGAGTTTAGTTCTAACCTTAATCAAACACACCTGAGCATGCTAATAAATGTCTTCAAGATCATTAGAAAATCACAGTTGGGTGAGTTTGATCAAAGTTGGAGCTAAACTCTGCAGGAAAGTGTATCTCATGAGCCATATTTGAGGTGTAACAGACACGAGCCTATTAATAAGAATGTTGTGGGCAGTTTTCTTCCTTACCACTAGGGGTGCTAAGGTGTTTTAGGTTTCCTTAAGTAAAGCCATGTGGGTAGAGGGAGTTAGCAAGAAGCTAAAACAAAAATGTGGATGGAAATTATGAAAAACTGGCAGAGTAGTTGGGATAGAGAGGAGAGAGGGAGACATTTATACAGAATACAACAGAACGTTGGGACAGGGAAGATCACTAGGAGGAATCGAAGGGAAGAAGGTCACTAGGTTAAGGATTGGACATTGTGGGTTAAATAAGTGCTTACATATCTTAGGTAAGCATATATCAGGAAGATGTGAATTTTGTGATAGTATTTAATCTGTTGAACATGTGGTGCTTGAATGCCAAAAATATGAGAGAGCAAGGATAAAGATGAAAGAAAACATAAGGAATTTGGGGGTGCAAGGGAATTCACTAAAGGAACTTCTGGGAAAAACTTCAAATGATATTAGTACTAATATATTTAGCTTCCTGGAGGACACTGGTATAGCAGGGTATAGAATACAGTTTTGGAAATCATTATTATTAATAATTAAAGGGGAGGGGGGAGAAGAGAGTTGGAAGTCTCCCTTCTAGTTATATCTGTCTAGCTCCGGTTCACACTCCAGTACAGTAGGTGGCGGTAATGCACCATTGAAGTTAGATGCCAACCGACGTTAAACATC